CTCTTTGTGACCCCATGGGGTGTAACCTGCCAGGCTCCTCCATCCATGGGATTTTCCAGGTAAGAATACTGGAGGGGGCTGTCATTTCCTTCTCCAGGGATCGCACCCGGGTGTCCTGCATTGCAGGCCAACTCTTTACCATCTGGGCCAGCAGGGAAGCCCAAAGACCTCCCCGAATTGCCCGTGAATCTCCAGGGAGCTAACCCTCTCAGAGTCGCCTCTGCTAAGTCTGGGAGAACTGTTCTCCTGCATGGGACAATTGAAAGCCTGTTCTGTTCTCCTTTGCTCACACACTCTGCCTGCTTCATATCAAACCAGACTGAAAACTTAATCCCTTTCTCAGTTTCCACCAAAAGCAACTTACATAGAACATGTGTGTGTGTGTATGTGTGTGTGTGTGTAGATTTTTCCAAATATGTGAAGTAGTGGGGATGGAGTAAAACAATTACCGTAACCACTTCATCTGTAACTACATTTCTGGTCTTTGAACACACACACTGGCCCCTCATTCCAGGTGTTCCCTACGTCACCTCATTTCCCTGGATCATCTCTTCCTACCTCTCCTGCCTGGCCCCAATCCTCTCTTCTCTACCAATCCCTCTCAGGAGGTAAGCTCTCCTCATTTTCTCATATGGAGCAGTAATGACATCCCTTCTGTTATCTTCACACTATGTTCCTAGGATTCCCTTTCTGTCCAACATGTCTCAAAGCACCCATCTTCATAGCAGCTCTGTGCACAATGCCAAGAGGAGAAAGCAACCCAAGTGACCAAAGACAAATAAGTAGATTAATAACATCTGCTATGTGCACACAATGGAATATATTCAATCTTAAAGAGGAAGGACATCCCTATACATGCTACAACATGGATGAGCCTTGAGGACATTATACTAATAAACCAGTCTCAAAAAGACAAATATTGTATTAGTCCACTTATTGGTTGGCCAAGATGTTCGTTTGGGTTTTTCCATACAATCATGTGGAAAAACCTGAATGAACTTTTTGGCCAAGCCAATATATGAACTATCTAGAGTAGTCAAAATCATAGAAACAGAAAGTAGAATGGTGGCTATCAGAAGCTGGAGGGAGGGGAGAAATGGGGAGGAATTGATTAACGCATACCAAGTCTGATAAGATGAAAACATTCTGGAGATGAGTTACACAGCAATGTGAATATACTTAACACCACTGACCTGCACACTCAGAAATAGTTAAGATGGTCAACTGTATGTTATTTTTCCCCCTCAATTAAAAGTTAAAATTAAAAAACCCTCTGGGCAAGGAATGTATCCTTCTGAATCTTAGTTTCCTCACTGGTAATTGGGGATAAATATATATGTTCCCCTCTAAATACACCTCATGGGACTCTTTTGAAGCTCATATAAATTGATGACTTTGAAAGAAAAAAAGGCAACTCTTTTCCCATGAGGAATTCAGATGCCAGTGGTTTAGTCACTATCCCTTGTAGCGTATATCTCTCCCATTTCCTCCGCCTGCCTGCCCAGGCTCCACCCATCCCCTAACCCTGCTTCTCCTAATCTACCATTTCCACCAACACTGGTGTGCCTTAACATCGTTTCCTCCCTTCTTTTATGTTTCTATTCTTTTTTATTTCACTGACTTTCAAGGCTTCAAGTGGCTCTATGAGCACACAAACACCAACCCATTCCTCTTGCTTGGTCTCCTTCTTAATACAGACTAATTAACCCTACTATCTACTGCATTTCTTCCTGCCCCATGCACCTCAAATTGGCATGTTCAAAACCAAACACATCACAATTCCCCAACAACCATCTCCTCCAAAGTTCTTGCTCTTGGTGAAAGGTCTAATAACCATCTCCCCTGATAGCCAAAAATAAAAATAAAAATCTGAACACACTCAGTTACTGCCTCTCTCTCCTTCCTACCCTCACCCTTTTTAAAGGCCTACTCTCAAGAAACAGTCTCAGATGAGTTACGTTTTAAAAGATCATTTCTCTCTTGGGTTATTGTCAGAGGCAAATGCAGGTGGCAGTGCTCTGCTCTGTGTGTCTTTTTCATTCCAAGATCCAAACTGAAGGGACACGCCATTCTAATGGCAGGGGTAAACAGACAGGCTGACATTTGTAATGGCTCAATATTTCTGCCTGGTCTCAGTCTAAATCACTCCCACTTAAGGTTCCATTGGCTAAAGCATATCATATGTCCACAGTTTTGATACTAGTAATCTGGGAGAGTATATTCCTTCTCCAGGAAGACACTGCAAGTCACAGGGCAAATGATAAGAATATAGAATTCTCTTGCCAGGAGAAGTGAATAATATATGACACTGCTTGTGTATAAGGCTGGTTCCATCTGTACAAAGACCACAGTTAGAAAAGTACCCACATCTCCCCCAGCCCAAATCCCAGGATTGCTGGTCTCCTGAAGGAAAGTAGATGAAATCTTGTAGGAAAAGTGTTGGCATCTTGATAAAGAAACTCTAGAAGATAATCCTGCTTCAGTCAACCCAATGAGTAAAATGGAAGGAAATTTACTTCATGATGTGGGCTCCTTCTGGAGTGTTTTTAATGAACTTCCTGGGCTTCCCAGGTAGCACAGGTGGTAAAGAACCTGCCTGCCAATGCAGGAGACATGAGATGCAGGTTCAATCCCTGGGTGGGGGAGATGCCCTGGAGGAGGGCATGCAGGCCACTCCCATATTCTTGCCTGGAGAATCCCATGGACAGTGGAGCCTGGCAGGCTATAGTCCACAGGGTCACAAAGAATCGGACACAGTTGAAGGAATCTACAGGAGTGAGTGTCCAGCAGCAGTGTGTGTACATCATGGTGCCACTCATGGACCAAGTTTGACCAGACCAGGGGAAAGTCCCAGACCCAAGCTGGTCCATCCAGGTCCTATCTGTGGTCATGTGGAATCCAAACAAAGAGGGGCAGGAGGTCAATCTCTCCTATGGTTGGAGTGATAACTTGTGAATTTGGAAGTTGTGGGAGACTTTGATTGTTCCAACCATTTGTTCTGAGCAGCTGAGAAAGCCAGTCTTCAGAGAAAATTACAGAGACAGCCCATGAGCAACAGAGAAAAGGAGCAAGTAAGAGAAGCAGCATTCCCCAAGTTCCCTGGAGCTTCCTTCTTCCCACGTCTTTTCATTCCTGGCTCCCTTCCATGTGGTTCATACATGAGGGTGGGTTTCCTGAATCACCCCTGCATCTTGAGATGAACTTCAGCTTAAGCTGGATTCAGTTGGTTTCTGTAGCTTGCTAAAGTTCTTTGAGCAATTTTCATTCACCTTTCTGAGCTTTAGTTTGTACAGCTGAAGAAGAAACAAGATAATGATGCTGAGGCACTAAACTGTTGAAAGAATCAACTGGATGTAAAAAATGTTATAAAAAATGGGAAGAACTATTATTATAGGAGAGAAATATCATGGCTGAAGGAAAATAGCTTAGGAAGAAATTTTGCTCTGAATTTTTGAAATATTGGTTAAAAAATAATAAAAATAATAATCAGACAAATATCAGGATATGCCAGACACTGTTCTACGTATTTGAGACACATCATTTCCTTTCATCTTCATATCAACCTTATTTTCTATAGGTTCTGTTCTTTTACACCATTTTGCAGATGAGGAAACTAAGATATACTAGAAGTTTAATAACTAGCCAAGGTCACACAATACTAGGTGGCAAAGTTCTATTATTGACTTTTATATCTGTTTCCTAATCCATAAAATGGCACAAATGACAGATATTACAGGATTGTGTTTTGAGATTTAACTAAAAATGTTCTCACAAAGTATATGACACATTGTAAGAATTGATGTAATAATCCCTTTCATAAGAAGACTCATCATAAATCTACTCCTTGTTGCATTGCAAATGAAGAAAATAAGATATGCAACTATGAGGAGGTGAATTTCAAATAAATAAAAGGCAATTCTGTTACCAAGGCAGGAGATAGACTTGTTAAACTCATTGACCCCAACAGGGAATAGGCCCGAAAATCTATCATGCTTTAATAAAACCTGGCCTAAGGCAACTTGAGTCAAACAATTCTCAAGCCATCTCATTATAAGAGAATCGTGATAACCCATAGTCTGCAGTGCTTATTGACATACAATCAGTGCTAATTGACATACAATCTTTTGTAAAAAAGAAAAAAAAATTATTGGAGTATAGTTGATTTACAATGTTGTGTTAGTTTCGGATATACAGCAAAGTGAAATCAGTTATACATATACATATATCCACTCTTTTATAGATTCTTTTCCCATATAGGTCATTACAGAGTATTGAGTAGAGTTACCTGTGCCATATGGTAGGTCTTTATTAGTCATCTTTTTTATATATAGCAATCTTTTTTAAACTCTTCTCTGCTTTGAGAGTAGCATGTCTCACTTGTATATGAAATGGAAGAGGACAAGGAAACTGAGAATGATGGTATGGTTCTATATCATGGGAGTTCTGCAGGCCTCATGTCATGTTATAGATGTAACGTGGGAGCTCCAGGAGGTAACATAACATGCCTTCACTCCAACAAACAGGAAATTGAAGAGCTGGTTTTCAAAATACAAGTCTTTCCAACCCCAGAGTCCCTACTTTCATTCTTATCCTCTGAAATACCTTACCAAAATAGATAGCTTTTGTACGTGTATGTGTGTGCGCGCTCAGTCACGTCCGACTCTTCGCAACCCCATGGACTGTAGCCCTTCCGGTCCTCTGGCCACGGAATATTCCAGGCAAGAACACTGGAGTGGGTTGTTTCCTCCTCCAGGGGATCTTCCCTGGATCAAACCCAAGCCTCCTGCATTGCAGGCAGATTCTTTATCACTATGCTATAGGAATTCCCACTATTAGTGCTATGAGCTATTAGAGCCTAACAATGACCCAAAGTCAATAATTTGAAACAAGATGCACTTATTATATCACAGTTTTTTGTGGGCCAGAAATTCAGGGCTGGCTTATCTAGGTGGTTCTAACTGTGTCATGAGGAGACAGTCAAGATGTCAGCCGGAGGGACTTCCCTGGTGGCCCAGTGGCTAGGATGCCTCACTGCCAATGCAGGGGGCCTGGGTTCAATCCCCAGCCAGGGAACTAGATCCCCCATGCTCCAACTAAAAGTTTGCATGCCACAACGAAAGATCCCACATGCTGCAACACGGACTGAAGATCCCTCATGCTACAACTAAGGCTTAGCAGTCAGTTAGTTCAGTCACTCAGTCGTGTGCGACTCTTTGCGACCCCATGGACTGCAGCACACCAGGTCCATCACCAACTCCCAGAGCTTGCTCAAACTCATGTCCATCGAGTTGGTGATGCCATCCAACCATCTCATCCTCTGTCACCCCCTTCTCCTCCTGCCTTCAATCTTTCCCAGCATCAGCGTCTTTTCAAATGAGTCAGCTCTTCGCATCAGGTGGCCAAAGTATTGGAATTTCAGCTTCAACATCAGTCCTTCCAATGAATTTTCAGGACTGATTTCCTTTAGGATGGACCGGTTGGATCTCCTTGCAGTCCAAGGGACTCTCAAGAGTCTTCTCCAACACCACAGTTCAAAATCATCCATTCGTATACTAACACATATATATGGAATTTAGAAAGATGGTAATGATAACCCTATATGCAAAACAGAAAAAGAGACTCAGATGTATAGAACAGACTTGTAGACTCTGTGAGAAGGCGAGGGTGGGATGTTTCAAGAGAACAGCATCGAAACATGTATATTATCTAGGGTGAAACAGATCACCAGCCCAGGTTGGGTGCATGAGACAAGTGCTCGGGGCTGGTGCACTGGGAAGACCCAGAGGGATCGGGTGGAGAGGGAGGTGGGAGGGGGATCTGGGATGGGGAATACATGTAAATCCATGGCTAATTCATTTCAATGTATGACAAAAACCACTGCAATGATGTAAAGTAATTAGCCTCCAACTAATAAAAATAAATGGAAAAAAAAAATGAGATAGTGACAAAAAACGAAAACAAAACCAAAATCATCCATTCTTCAGCACTCAGCTTTCTTTATAATCCAACTTTCACATCCATACACGACTACTGGAAAAACCATAGCTTTGACTAGACAGACCTTTGTTGGCAAAGTAATATCTTTGCTTTTTAATATGCTGTCTAGGTTGGTCATAGCTTTTCTTCCAAGGAGCAAGTGTCTTTTAATTTCATGGCTGCAGTCACCATCTGCAATGATTTTGGAGCCCAAAAAAATAGTTTCTCACTGTTTCTATTGTTTCCCCATATATTTGCCATGAGGTGATGGGACTGGATGCCATGATCTTAGTTTTCTGAATGTTGAGTCCAGGCAAATAAATAGATATTTTTTCAAAAAGGTGTTAGCTAGGGCTACAGTTATCTACAGGTTTGACTGGGACTGAAGGATCTGTTTCCAGCTGCGACGGCTGGCAATTTGGTACTGTTGTAGTTCCTCTCCATCTAGACTTTGCCATAGGTTGCTTGAGTGTCCTTACAGCATGGTGACTAACTTTCCCCAAAGCATGCAGTTTGGCAGAGAGAGCATGTCAGGGGAGCTATCCTAGCTGCAGAAGCCACATAGAAACACTTCTGTCTCATTTTATTAGTTATCGATAGAATTAAGATTGCCTATATTTAAGGGAAGGAAATTAGGCAGAGGAGAATGATGGACATATTTTTGACCACTATACTTAACAAATGAGAAAGAATTTGCAGCTCTGATGTGAATTGCCTAGCCTTTGTTTAAAATGAACCAAAGGTTTCCAACACCGCTTGGTTTGAAATCAAAATCCTTAACATGACAGCAAGGCCAGGCCAGGCCAGGCATGCCCCACACACTACATGCCCCCAGCCTCAAACCAGGTCTCTCCCCTTTATGTTATATAGTAGTAGTAGTGTTAGTCACTCAGTCGTGTCCGACTCTTTGTGACTCCATGGACTGTAGGCCACCAGGCTCTTCTGTCCATGGAGATTCTCCAGGCAAGAATACTGGAGTGGGTTGCCATTCCCTTCTCTAGGGGATCTGCCCAACCTGAGGACTGAACCCAGGTCTCCTGCATTGCAGGCAGATTCTTTACCATCTATACCTGGACTGTTTTCATTTCCTCTAAAATACTGCATTCCCAGCTGCCTAAAAGCCTCTCAGAGATGTTTCCCTGGCTCTCCATGCCCTCCTCTAACCTCCTTTGCCTTGTTAACATTCACTCTTGGATCCTGGTTCAAAGGTTGCTTCTTCATCAGACTTTCCCTGATCCCTCAGACCACATCAAGTCTGGCCAGAAGCAGTTACGAATCCTTGAGTTTTTTTCTGAATGATACTTTTCACTTGCAATTACGGATGGAAGTGATCACTTGATCACTTTCTGACCAATGTTTAGTCTGTATTGAGACTAATGTTTTACTCACTGTTGCATCCCTAGCACTTTGCATAGTGCCAGGGAAGTAATGTGTGCTCAGTCACAAATGTGTCAAATAATAAGTGTCCAGACAATGATCTCCTTGCAGCTGGAGGTATGCACACAGAGGTGGAACAATCTTTTTATAAATGTGTTTCAGGGGAGGTTTGAGCATCAGATCAGAGTTGACTGGATGAATTTTAAGGTTCTTTTCTTTTAGGGAAGTCTCTGAGATTCTATGAGTCTGTGATTCTAGGGTCCCCACTCACTGGGAGAAAACCTTGCCTCCTTGCATGACTCACCTATGGCCCAGGTCTCAGGTCTCCTGGCTCCAAGGACACAACCCTCTCAAGAGGCAGCTAACTCCAGGCTCCTCTGGCAGCCTGGTACTCACATCAAGCACAGGGAGAAGCTATGTTGGAAACCTTGGGAGCAGCTGCCTGGGGGCTTTAGTGATTGGACCCTCTGTGGCTCCTTTAAGAAGTTTTACAAGGTTAAGGTTTGCTCTAAAAATAAGCTCAGAAGGCTTTTTAAAAAGCTTCTAAAACCATATGTCCACAACAGCCATTTTTTGAAGGGCCAGTGAGCCTTTAAAAGCTTCAAAAGTCACTACTTGGCCTGCCTCCCACAGTGGAGAAAGTTCAATATGCAGTGTGCTTAAAAACAGACCTGCTTTTAAGTCTTCTAGAATCTGCACCTGAAACACTCTGCTCCCTATCAAAGGGATTCAAAATGGAGATCAGTTTTGTGTGAGGCTTGTTACCCCAGAGACTAGGTTCTTTCCACAGTAATCAAGTGCCCTAAATAACCACAAAATTTCCACTAGTTGCCTATAGAGAGATTAGTTCAGGTTTTTCTTTCCTGTTCCCTCTTTCCTCCTATAGTTCTCTTCATATTATGGGGTGTTGTGGATTATTCTGTTAAGTGCATACACACAGATTCACAGGAACCATGGTGTGGTTAAGAAAATGTTCACCCAGACTGAGTGTCTATCAGATAACTGGTAGCAAAGGAGAAAGGGCATTTATTTGTTAAACTGTCCTTAAATTCAATATGTGGTACATAATAGGTAGGCAGTTATGTATTTATAGATATAGAATACCTATATTTCAGGTGAGAAATACCTATATTTCTGTTTTTTGATTCCTCAAAAAACTAAAAATCGACTTGCTATAAGATCCAGCAGTGACACTTCTGGGCATGTATCTGGACAAAACTCTAGCAGCTCTTTTCACAATAGCTGAAACATGGGAATAACCTAAATGTCCATCAACAGATGACTGGATAAAGAAGATGTGGCCCATATATATAATGAAACATTATTTAGCTGCCCCCAAAAGAAAAAATGAAATAATGTCATTTGTAGCAACATGGATGGACCTAGAGATTATCATACTAAACGAAGTAAGTCAGATAGAGAAATTCGAATGCTATATATCACTTATATATGGAATCTCAAATATGACACAAATGAACTTATCTATGAAACAATAACTAACTCACAGACAGAGAACAAGCTTTTGGTTGATAAGGGGGTGGGGTGGGGGAGGGCTGGATTGGGAGTTTGGGACTTGCAGATGCACACTCATATATAGAACAGACAAACAACAGGGTCCTACTGTATAGCACAGGGAACTATACTCAATATCTTGTACTAAACCATTATGGAAAACAGTATGAAAAAGAACATATATGTGTCTCTTTGCTGTATACCAGAAACTAACACAGCATTCCAAAGCAATTATACTTTAACAAAAAAAGGAAAAGAAAAATAATATCTTCTCCCCAAAGACATTTTATAATTTGCAGGGGGGACTAGAGAGAAGCATGGGGTATGATGAACCATATTTCAAGCTCCTCGAATCCTTCAAGCCTCAGTCAGGGATCCCCTATCGACCCCTCTACATAATGAAAAAATGGAGGCCCAGAGAGGTTAAGATTGATCCCACAGGACGACCAGCCTCCATGTACCCAGGCTCCTCGTATTGGTACGAAAGGGCAGTATGATGGCTCTAGGCATAGAGCATTGAGGTTTGACTCCCACTTCACTACTTCCTAACTGTAAATCTTTGGGCAGTTTTCTCCACCTCACAGAACTTCAGTTCTTTGTCTATAAAACAAAGATAATATCTACCACATCATGTCCCACTCTTTTGGGACCCCATGGACTGTAGCCCACCAGGCTCCTCTGTCCATGGGATTTCCCACGGGAAGAACACTGGAGTGGGTTGCCATTTTCTTCTCCAAGGATCTTCCTGACCCAGGGATTGAACCTGCATCTCCTACATTGCAGGTGGATCCGTTACTGCTCAGCCACTGGGGAAACCCAAAATAGCTACCACAGAGGGTGATTAAAGCAACAAACTGCAACAATCCAAGTGAAACAAATCCATGTGAAATCCATGTGATGCTGTTATCAGCATCCCTGGAATATAGTATGCTTATAGCATATGTTACCTCACATGAGATGAGTACTTTATCCTGGGTGATAAAGTATTTTTTCCCTGTTTTGAGGGCAGAAAGGAATGAACAAAGAGCTCATTTGGAAAGATTACAGCACTTAAAAGTATGAGACAGCTGCAGAACTGCAATGTCTCAGGTGTGTTCTGGATTACCATGGAGAGAAGAGATTTGCAGACTTGAGCATGTACCAGAATCTTCTGTAACACTTGATAAATCACAGCATGCTGGGTCTACCCCCAAAGTTTCTGATTTACT